TACGAATATAGTCCCGTGAGGGACTATATCATACGAAGATATGATTGGGAGCTACTGGGAGCTCCACTTCAGTGAACAACATGACGGCAAGTAGGGTTATGGATTTAAGGAGTGAAAGTCATGGTACCGTAGAGGCGGGTCTTCCGTGCGTGCATCGAATTTTACATTGGATGAAAACCTTGGTCATCAGCATATGAGGGCTGTGTACCACTAAAGAAAAAGTTTGAAAGCTAGTACAAGTGAGTCACATGGGAGGGACTTGATCATATAGAGGGATGATCAAAATAGCTGGAGAGTTGGACTACTCCGAAGCCTATATTTGCTTAAGGGAGCCCAGCAAGTCAGAGGACAAGGTCGAGTAAGCGAACGTTGCTACCAAGGAAGCTAAGGAGAACAGAATCGGTACAAATCCTACAATATGATGGCAGAGGTCATGTATAGGAGTTGCTGTCTGTCGTTTCATCGACTAAGGGGAACTACTTGGAGAACATAGAGGTGTTGAAGCAAGGGGTCGAAAGGGGCGAGGAAGCGACGACGAATCCAGAGGGACTTAGCTACCCAAAACAAAGCATCGGTTAGAATGGAGGTAGACTCGGAGGAGTGCCACAGTGCCATAGAGGCAAATCTACCGATCATGAAGAAAGGGGCGCAGATGCGAGGTGATAGATAGTAGGGCCATGGGCATGGCAGCGCTATGGTACCACAGAGGCGGGACTTCCATAGAGTCATCGATCCCTTGCTCTCATGGAGGGAGAGCGCTTGGTCATGAAAGGGGCCGAGGAGGTAGAGTATGCAAAGGCAAACTCCAAGTACCAGGATAAGGTTGAAGGGTAGAGGCCAAGGAACTTCGTAAGACTGGTGTCAATAAGTTTCTCATCAAGATAGCCGAAAGTGAAGGACTTCGGGTTATGCAAGAGTGCACGACCAAGGAACGAAGCAGGTAGTATGCGGTGTTGTACCTTTGCTACTTAGTGGAGTATGCGACAGGGTTGATGGAGAAGACGATACAATCTCAGAGGTGACCAAAACTACTAGAGACTTACTCCAAGTTGGGGCGAAAACTTCTTGCATTCTAGAAGTTCGATGCCATTTGAGAAGGTGAATCACAGTAGCTAACTCAACGCAAGGAGTGCAAACACTTCAAGTGCTTCAGAAGTGTGAGCAAAGAGCAAACGAAGACCAGTAACCAACTCGATGCATAGAGTACAACCCTCGAGGAGGTGGGCGAAGTCAAGTAACCTTTGTCTTCTCAACTCTTAAGAGAATAGGCGAAACCGAGTACCCTAATTATCTAATTTATCCAGTAGAGGAACTCTGCATAGGTTCAAAGACCCTTCGAAGATAATGAAAGATAATAGTTGTCAAATCCTCACCAATGGTGATTAGTGCTACAGAGAGCAAATTATCCGCTTCATTTCCCAATAGAATGTCAATCGAAAGCGGAAGTGATGCGAATTTGCTTGGAAGTGACAACTAAGTGAAAGAAGAGTCAATGAAAAAATTTTGTGGAAGAAGGAACCAAAACTTCAAAAAGTTTACGAGGCGATGCTCGTTAAAGCTCCAACAAGCATCCACCCAGTTCAAGCAGCATGAGGTATTTGAGAGACTAGCACAAAGTAGGGATGGTCTTTTCCTTCATCTAAAGGATCCATAGGAACCAACAATGATTAACACAACTCAGTCAACCCCACACTAGAGTCAAAGTCATTGGCGAGTTGAAGCAGCAAGGCGGATCAAAAGTTTGACTACTCAACAATAGCAGTGGAGAGCAGCTGGGAGCCAAGAGGCACGTTGTAGTTGGAGCAAAAGATTGAAGACCCAACAAAGGCGAGGAGTTGCAGTGTCGGTAAAGGCTTCGACGAGGACGTCGAAGGAATGAGTGGGGGAGAATGTCATAGACAAACTTCTAAACAGGATGTTTGATTTATTGCTTATGTATGTCCATGTCTTTTGGTATGTTCATACTTTGCACAATATGTAGAGGGACGATCGAATGTTTAACAACCCAATTTTAGTTGGGTTTAGTGGTCGTTTTAGGCTTGTAAATAAAGATTGTGTCATGTGGATACTTGTGAGAGATATTCGATCTGTAATGGATCATTTTGACCCTTTGCTATGCAACCATTTAAAGATTGTAAAGCTTCATTCTTTGCGAGACGTCGGGACTTGTCCGTCGCTCATTTTTAATCTAATCAACTTTCTATTTTACAGGTCATTCGGGACCTGTACGAGGTTGCAACAAGGCTGAACTTTTGCGGATGCATATGTTGCAAGGACACCTCAAGACTTATGCAATCCCAACTAAGTTTATGAAGTTGGCGCATGGGTGCATCGCGACTTAGGCAACTTAAGCTAAGTTCGCATCTTGGTCGCAAGAGTGCCTCACCACTTAGGCAATTCCAGCTAAGTCCGTGATAACATGCCTTAAATAAAGGCTGCAGGTTGAGGAGGAAAATAGAAGGTGGTAGCCAAAAAAGCCTAGCCTATGGTCCTTTGGTTTCCTCCTATTTATAGAGGCCCATCGTCAATTTAACCCTGATGGATCCTACCATATTGGGTAATAAATCTCCATCCAACTACTCAAGCCTCTTAGAATAGTGGGTCTTTACCCAATAATCTCTTATTGGCTCTTATTGGATCTCATCTATATGATCCAATAATTCAGGAGCTTATTGGATATCCAATAAGATAGGGGCTCTAACGAATATCTTATGTCTGAACGTTTACTTATCGCAACACCTACCATATGTGTGTGACCCTCTAGGCCCAATATCAAGCTGATCATGAGTCATATTTGTTAGAACTCTTTCTAGCTCAATAAATTATTATCCCCATAATAATTCACTCGACTCATCGATTACGGACAAACTAGGCTACTACGCTACAGTCCCTAGATGATAAGGGGAATCCAATCCATTATACCTGTTTGTCTATAATTATCATGTATCTATAGTCCCTCATCCATTTAATGCCTAGAGACCGTATATCGGGCATGATGCTGTTATGCCCATACAGTTTCTACTCGAGTCTCGCTCTAATCGGATTCTTCCGGAGAACTCTTTCTCTTTCAATCCGAATGACCTTAACAGAGATTTGTTTGAGCAAGAACACTGGGATATTCCTCTCATGACACTGAGAGCGGATGATCCTCTATCGACACTCAATTGCCTTTGTAATGTTGGTTACCATTCCTGAGAACTAGCTATACCATATCTGGAGCTTCTAAACTTATAAGTCTAATATCAAATAATGGAGTACTCATACAATGCATCTTTAGTATCTTAAGTCTAAGGACCAGACACACAACTGAGACTACGAAATCGTTGTTTGATGTCATGTATCATTATCTATCCAGTATTCTATAAGTGGATCAATCAATGAACTCATTCTCCAATGAGCATTTGCATTGTATCCCTAATGTCTCCACATGAACAGCTATGAGAATAGCTGCCTCTATCATATGGATGAGTATATAGTAAATTAGTCTGTCCAATTATCTTGATGTCCCTCTCGAGTAACCTATTACCTAGATTATTTATGGTCTATGTTTAAAGGTGAATCAATTTCATTATCATAATCTCATCACGATCTGATTCTCATTGCACAAATCCACGGATATCACAATATATATATATATATATATATATATATATATATATATATATATATATA